AACGACGAGAACAGCCGAGGAGGGTTTGGGTCAAGGACACAGGACGACAACGGCGACAAGCGAGAATGAGAACGGTGACGGCGACGAACAGGGACGGCAAAGGCGACGAATGAGGACGACGGCGAACGAAGATGACGGAGAATGAAGATGATGGCTAACAAGGACGACGGCAATGAACAAGGACGGTGAACAAGGATGGCAGTGATGGACAAGGACGGCGAACAAGGACGGCGACGAACGACGACAGCGACGAACGAAGACGACAGCGACGAACGAAGATGACAGCGACGAACGAGGATGGCGGCGACGAACGAAGATGACAGCGATGAACGAGGATGGTGGCGGACAATGACAGCGGGTGAGGAAAGCTGACAGCGACAAACGATGGCGGCGGGTACGAACAGGGGCGGGCGGCAGGACCAGCGGAAGGCGACAGCGGGCACAGGACATCAGTGGACGTCAACCCGCCCTCTCGCCCTTGCCCTTGCCCTTGCCCTTGCCCGCCGTTCTGGCCTTCACCCCGCCTCTCGCCCCTCACCCTGCCCCTCGCCCTTCACCCGCCCTTTGCCTCCTGCTCAGCACCCGCCTCCTGCTCAGCACCCACCACCTGCAGCTCAAGCACAAGGGAGAGCATGAGGAGGGGGGAGCACGAGCACACAAAGAGCCCCATGAGCACCCGAAGGGCCCAACGAGCGACAAAGGGGGTGAACGAGTGGAGGAGGGAGCAGAGGGAGCCCCAACGAGCACAGTAGGGGGTGGAGGAGCCCCATGAACAGAGGAGGCCATGGAGGAGGCAGACAGGTGGGGGGGACCATACCCATCTCCATGAGCAGAAACGGCGTGCTATGACGTGTCGTTTCTGCTCGTTTTACCTATTTTCCATAGCAGGTGGCCCTGCTAGCCACCCGGATCCTGTATTTTTTTTTCTTCAATTTAATAAGATTTTTTTTGCATTTTTTTTTGGCAGGGGGCAGGGACCAAGACCAGAGCGGAAACGACGTGTCGTGACATGTCGTTTCTGCTCATTTTATTCTTATCTCGTAGTGTGGGTTGCTGGTAGAGCCACCCAACTATGTATATATTTAATCACAATTTAATACAATTTTTTTTGCTAATTTTTTGGTGTACCCCAAGCTCACTGGATGTCGTTGCAGATGATGGCGAGAGGATTACAACGGGTGCGTCATAGTAATTACATGATGATCTAAAAATAGTTCCGGGGCCCCGCAAAAAGGCTGCATCATCCAAACGCACCTGTCCCAATCCACCCATTCCCACCCCCCGACAATGGAGGAAACAGTGCACAATGATGAGGAAATATGTTTCCTCATCGTTGGCGCCTTTTCCCTGTCGAAAACGGGGGTGGGAGCACCCCAAACGACGAGGAACAGTGTCTGAGCATTGTTTCCTGTGTTGTTTGCATGTATTGACATGCCCCGGCACACCCGGCAAGGCCCTCTCCGTAGGTGGACTGTAAAACCACAGTCCTGACATATAAGCATACATTGTAAAAATACAGTATCTGATGTATTCTCGTGGCTTATAGAAGTGCATCCTCACACTATTGCATGGTCATCGTCGCTGGGGAGTGGTCGCGCTGAGGTTGTCATCATGCCCTGCAGACCATCCTCGTTGTGCACGAGGTCCTGCTCACTTTGCTGGTGTGTCCACCCAGTCACCATGTCCTCTTGGTCATGCTCCCCGGCCATCGCTCTCGCCTGGTCATGGTGGTCGTCCGGTCGTTGGTGCCGTCATGTCCGCATTGGCCTCTCGTTGGTGTCGCCGTCGTGTTCATTGTGCCGCTGTTGTCCTGGGATCTCATCCTCACCTGGCTGCTGTGCTCGTATTTGCATCGGCACCATCTCGCCGTCCTGGTCGTCCCATAGTCACCAACGGGAGAAGGAGAGGGTGGGGCACGAGACGAGTAGCAGCACTTCTATAAGCCATGAGAATACATCACATACTGTATATAAACAAGGTATCCTTATATATCAGGACTGTGGTTGAACAGTCCACCTACGGAGAGGCCGGTGGGTGGCCTTGCCGGGTGTGCCAGGGCTCGTGGCTGTGGGTGGGGCATGTCAACACATGCAAACAACACAGGAAACAGTGCTCGGGCACTGTTCCTCGTTGTTTGGGGTGCTCCCACCCCCGTTTTCGATGGGGAAAAGGTGCCACCAACG